AGCAGAAAGAAAATGTTTTGAAAATGATGATGGCGACATCTGTACAAATGTGTTTGATACAACTGATGTATGGATATAAGAGCTGTAAGAGCTCCCAATAAAATGATTTATTAATTAAAAAAAATCCACCGCCATGAAGTTGATTCTGACTCTCAGTGACCCTCTAGGGCAACCTAGAACAGTCCCTTTGGGTCTTCAAAACTACAGCTAAATCTTTATGAAAGCATAGTCTCCTCTTTTTACTGTGGAGTAGGTGATGGGCTGGCCTTAATGCTATGCCAATAACCTACTTTGCCACTAGGACTTCTTAGCCACAGCTATACCCCAGACCCACTACCATAGAGTTAATTCTAACTCAGAGCAACCCTCTATAAAGTTTCTAAAGCTGTCAATCTTTATGAGAGTAGAAATCCTCATCTTTCCCCCTCAAAGCAGCTGGTAAGTTTGAACTACTGACCTTGTGGTTAGCAGCCCAATGCGTAATCCACTACTCCACCAGGGCTCCTTATGTACATGCCTAGCAGTAAATTCTAACACATAATTTGGAGGGGCACAATCCACACCCTAACACCCCCAAAGCCTCTAGAAGAAAAGACAGCAGCCCCGACGCGAGGCACCTTGGCTTCCGTGCAGTGAGACGTCTGCACTACAGAGCCACAGGGCAACACACGGGCTGTGCATGCAGATAGTTTGTGGTGGTTTGTTGCAGCGGCAATGAGAAACTAATGCAATCATCCGCTCCATTTCTGCCAGGAAGACCTTTTTTCTTTCAAATCCAGTTTAAAAGTCCTCTTTTCTATTTATTTCTTTTCTTTTAAATCACTTTATTGGGGGCTTGTACAACTCTTTTTTTACTTTTATAAAGATGTATTGTATTTTATTTTTTAAATCATTTTATTAGGGGCTCATACAACTCTTATCACAATCCATACATACATCCATAGTGTGAAGCACATTTGTTGCCATCATCATTCTCAAAACATTTGCTTTCTACTTGAGCCCTTGGTATCAACTCATTTTTTTTCCCTCCCTCCCCATTCCACTCTCCCTAATGAACCCTTGATAATTTATAAATTATTATTATTTTATCATATCTTACACTCTCTGCCATCTCCTTTCACCAACTTTTCTGTGGTCCATTCCCCCAGGGAAGAGGTTATATGTAGATCCTTGTAATATTCTACCCCACCTTCCCTCCACCCTCCTAGTATTGCCATTCTCA